ATCGCCTCCGCAAGGGTTTTGCAAACCAAGTTGCGGGTGGGTTGGTGGGATTCTTACGCGAACAGTGGAATCGGCAACTTCAAGTTCGGCAGGGTGAACGGCACCGCATAGATTGCACCACATACATTGCACCACATAGATTGCAAAACATAGATTGCCAAGCATCGGATGCGCCACGTATAATAAGCAACATAGATTGCACAACTTAGATTTAACCACGTGTAGTGTACAATAAAGACTGCACTTGCAGGATTGCACCACATATATAGCACCACCTATGTACACCACATACAGATCACAACATATGTTGCACGACATCGGCTGCACGACATAGGTTGCACAATGTAGGCTGCACCAAATACATTGCTTAACATGCTGCACAAGATATATTGCACCTTAAACATTACACACCATCAATTGATGTAAACACACTGTGTGGGGTCCACGCTGGCAAGCATCTGATACCTTCTGATACGATCGCTCTCTGATCTGCCTCCTTGCTTCGTCATATGACCACTCCGGTCCGAACTGACCCAATTTTGCCTAACGTCAAAAAGGAAAAAAAGGAAGAGGAAGAGGAGGAGGAGGAGGAGGAGGAGGAGGAGGAGGAGGAGGAGGGGAGGACAACGAGGAGCAGAAGGAGGAGGAACAGGAGGAGAAGGAGGAGGTGGAGGAGGAGGAGGAGGAGGGAGGGGGAAGGAGGAGAAGGAGGAGGGAGGAGGAGGAGGAGGAGTCAGGGGGAGAAGGAGGAGGAGGAGAGAAAGAGACGGAGGCAGGAGGAGGGAGAAGTCGAAAGGGAGGCAGGAGGCCAGAGAGGAGGAGGCGGGAGGCAGGAGTGAAGAAGGGCAGGAGGCAGGGGGCAAGAACAGGAGGAGGAGGCAGGAGGGCAAGAAGAGGAGGAGGAGGAGGAGGCAGGAGGAGGAGGACGTAGGAGGAGGAGGAGAAGGATGCAGGAGGGCAAGAAGAGGAGGAGGAGGAGGAGGAGGCAGGGGGGCAAGAAGAGGAGGAGAACGAGAACGAGGATGAGGAGGAGGAGGAGGAGGAGGAGGAGGAGAGATGACGTAGAGTCGACCATAGGAAGGGGAATCTCGCTCTCAACCCACGTGGTCGCAGGAGGCGCCAGCTTCTGGGGGACGATGGAGAAGCAGCGCGTGGGGGAAGGGACAAAGTTGGAGGTGACGCCAGGAGGGACGTCAGCCATACACCCGCGCCGATGACGGCCAGATCCACGGTGGCCGAGGATTGCCCTAGCCAGGATCGAGGTAGATGTAACTACAGTGGGCCCTCCCCGTGGGGAAGGCAGCGAAGGGCAAGAAAGGGCGAGTCAGGGCCGCCCTCCCTCTCCTCGTCCTCAAGAACCTCACTCCTCGATCATCCTCCTCCTCCTCCTCCTCCTCCTCCTCCTCTCCTCCTCCTCATCATCATCATCATCATCATCAGCAGCAGCAGCATCATCAGCATCATCAGCATCATCCTCATCATCATCATCATCTCATCATCATCATCATATCATCATCATCATCATCATCATCCAGCATCATCATCATCATCATCATCATCATCATCATCATCATCATCATCATCATCATAATCATCACATCATCATCATCAGCATCATCATCATCATATCATCATCATCATCATCATCATCATCATCAATCATCAGCATCAGTCATCACATCATCATCATCATCATCATCATCATCAGCCATCTCATCATCATCATCCTCATCATCATCATCATCATTCATCATCATCATCATCATCATCAATCATCATCATCATCATCAGCATCATCATCATCATCATCATCATCATCATCATCTCATCATCATCATCATCATCATCGTCGTTCATCGTCATCGTCATCATCAGCATCATGATCATCATCATCATCAGCAGCAGCAGCATCATCAGCATCAGCATCAGCATGAGCATAAGCATCAACATCAGCACCAGCACCATCAACATCATCATCATCATGATCATCATCATCATCATCATCATCATCATCAGCATCATCATCATCATCATCATCATCATCATCATCATCATCATCATCATCATCATCATCATCATCATCCGCCATCGATCCTCCTCCTTCTCCTCGTCCCCTGCCTCCCTCCCCCCTTCTCAGGGCCAGGGTCTGGTCAAGGGGCAGGGAGGCGGGGGTCGGAACGAGCAGGCGGAAACGAGAGGACGGACACAGCGAGGAAGGGAGAGCACGGAGACAGAGAGGAGCGGTCCAGCTGCAAGAAGGGCTCTGGGGAACGACAGGTCAGAGAGAGGGATAGGCAGACAAGGAGAGAGGGAGGCAAATGATACGGAGACTGCCTGGGGGGGGCTGAGGGCGAGAGGGGGAAGGGACGGAGGGAGGAAAGAGGGAGGGAGTGTGCCCTCCTTTCCAGAGGCACGCGCGGTCTGCAGACGTCTGCACTCCGAGGCGATGAGTCATGCTGCCACGACTACTGCTGAAACCAGATGTAGTGCAATAACGAACCATCACCAAAGCTTCAGCACAGAAGGCTGAGTGAGATTCCCACACCCTGGCGCGGAAAAGCAATGCCCGCTCTCCGCCTGGGAAATATGCAGACCGCCGTCCACTGCGAGGCCGAATCTAACCCCTGCGGGAAGTTCGCCAGGGCTGCTGGTGTCCTCTCACCAATCTTCTTGTGGATCCGTAAGCAGCACCAGCCCATCCACCACTCCATTGGCATCTCCTGATGTCCCCCTCTGTCAAACTTCTGGCTTGCACCAGCTGTCTGCACCCTGATTGATATAATTTCAACAGCCCATGCGCCACCTGCACGAAAAGCGGTCGCATCCCGTCCTCACGCAGAGCTGAATAGCCACCACTGAGGGCGCCGCTCATTTCCTGAGACTCCGTGTGGGAAAAAAGCAGTGGTCCGGTCTGCGGCAAGGGCGCATGGCCCAGATTAGAGGCCTCCTAGATGGGGTCGGAGTAGATGGGGTCGGAGGATCGCGCCGCATCGCCGATACATCCGCGATGCATCGGCGATGTATCGGCGATGCATCGGCGATGCCCCGGCGATGCATCGTCGACGTCGGCGATGCATCGGTGACGTCGGCGTGAAGCAAATCGGGCTCCACGTCGAGCCGCAACGCCGATGCATCGGCGATGCGGCGCGATCCTCCGAACCCATCTGCTCCGGCCTCATCCAGGAGGCCCAGACTTATGTCGGGCCTGTCCCCATTCAGGGGGATTTTCGACAAAAAATTAAAAATACCCCCAAATACCCCAAAAAGGTCAAAAAATACTTTTTAAAAAAATGGTCCCCAGACTATTCTTTGATTATTTTTTGACCATGTTTGGGGTATCTTTTATTTTTCGTCGAAAATCCCCTTGTAGGGGGACAGGCCCGATTTAAGCCTAGACATCTGCGGCACTGCATGCATCGAGGGGGCCCGATCGCCAACGTGTCCGGCGAGGCTCCAGGGGCGAGCGCATCCAGTGCCCACCCTCGGGGCGACCCGCCCCTGCCCCCCGGACAGCCGACGCCGTGCACGCCTTGGCTCCCGGAGGCCCGGACCCCTCCTCGCTGGCCCTCCCTCTCCCGCCTCTCTCGTCCGCCTGGGTCCGCCTCCTGCTGCTCCTGCCTCGTGGGCGCGCCGCCGAGAGCAAGATCTGCTTTCCTGCCACGAGGCGACGACAGCCCCGACATCCTCGCGTCACGAGAGAAGCGCGACGGGGAGTCTGGCATGTTGCGGCCACCGAGCCACTGGGCGTCAACAAAACGGCGAGTCGGGGCGCACTGCCAGTCTGGGGGAAGGGGTCGAGGGCTCCGGGGGAGAAGGCCCAGAACAGACAAGCGCTTTCCACGACTCGCAGAGCAACTACTCGCAAGTGGCCTGAATCCGCCACGGGGGACTTACGATACGTCACATCGAGGCACACGTGTGTTTATCTGACCTTTTGCGAGGGGGCAACAATGGACCCCGCTCGGGCGTTGGCAAGACTGGGTTTAGGGGGACCTGGTTTAGCGATGTGTCCTGGAGAACGCCTTCCCAGCGCCATTCCACTAACCGGAACTGCCGTCACCCGAAAAACACCAGCTACGGCAGACCTGGTTTAGTGATTCCAATCCATCTGTTGAGCTTCGGGGCCCAATCACCAACCCGCTCCCCTTACCCGGGGCCCTGGCTGTACCCGACCCGCTCGGTGACAGCAGGCCCCAGGCCTCACGAGCAGCTGCCTGCACGCTCTCCGAGGCCCCGCCGCCTCCCGAGACGGCCTGCCCCCTCTGGCCATCGCTCGGACGTCCATTCCCTGTGTTTTTCTCGCTCTCGTGCGTGGTTGTTTCGCCAAATAATCAAGGATGCTCCTCGATGGTCCTCGCCGAAGGAAACATGCACACGTCCGAGCGATGCCTGCCCCCTCTTGCTGCTCGGAGGAGGAACACTCTTGCGCCACCAGCAGCCCTCCCGCCCGGCCCCACACCCACTCAAGATCGGCCCCCAGACCACTCCCGGGGTTGATTAGGGGGCCACAAGCGAACCCTACCCCTACCCCCCACGATCTCTGAGGGGGAGGGTGGGGTTCACTTCGCTCGGGAGCTCCCGAATGGAGTGAACCCCACCCTCCCCCTCAGAAATCGTGGGGGGTAGGGGTAGGGTTCGCATGTGGCCCCCTAGTTGATCCTGACCCGTTTTTCGGCGCGGATCCAGCCGTGGCGACGAGGAGCCTCGCCAGAGGCTTCACGGCTTCTGCCGTCCTCCCTCGACTCGCGCGAGCGCGGCCGCAAGCTGCTCTCCAGCTTTCCCTGGGGATCCCTTGCTCTACCTGGACTCGCCCGGATGTCCCTGGATGCACCTCGATTGACCTGCATGTCCTGGCTTGCTCTCACTCGATCCCCAGGAGTCGATTGGCGAAAAGTCGCCAAGCCCCTGGGGACTACTTCCCCCTTCGTCGCACCGCCGACGCCCCCGCCCTCCCCCCCCCCTCCCCCGGCAGACCCGCGGCCAGCGGCTGGCGGCCCCGCCTTGGTCGTGGCGGCGTCGAGGCCGCCGTCGCACATGTCGAGCAGCTTCTTCAAGTCCTTGCCACGCAGTGGCTGCCCGCCTCCTCCTCCCTCCCCTCCTGTCGGCTGCGCCAGGATGCACAACAGCGCCGTGCAGTCATCTGACCGCAGCGGATCTTCAGAAACTCGGAGTCGAATCGAAGCGGATCGAGACGGCTGGACTGGGCATCGAATCGGATCGGTCGGATCGACGTGGGCCCTGGAAGTAGTCGGGGTGAGAAGGGGCAAGGGACGAGAGAGGCGGGAGGGAGAGAGGAGGCAGGGAGGGACGAGGGGACGGACGAGGGGCTGGTCGAGGAGTGAGAGACGAGAAAGCAGGGAGGAAGGGAGGAACAAGGAGACGATGAGGCGAGCAACCAAGAGGCCAGCCGCCCCAGTGCCCTCTGCCTGGCCCCTCGTCATCTCCGATCGGAGGGCGCAAAGGTGGCCACCGAGGGCGAAGCAACGGGTGTTTGCTCGCCCTCGGCGCGAACGCCTGCCTCGCTAAGGCCTCGACCACTCGCGCATGCGCAGCATCGCGAACGATCCGTGGCGGGCCCGAAGAGCGGGTCAAATTCTCAAGACCCGTGCGAGTCGCGGGCGCACACACACACACACACACACACACACATTCACATACACATACACACTCACGGGCCTGTTGGCGGCCGGGTGCCACCGCAAAACGGCCGCATCACAAGCAGAATTGCAGATCATTGCAGGTCCCGGCAGGCAAGGCAGTGGGAAGTGTGCACGAGGGCGCCTCCGACCACAACGGGGCCACTGGCGGCGACGGCAGCGCCAAAATAGGAACACCGTAGAGTTCGGCTCCACGTCTCAAGGAGGCCAGGTCTGCCAGACATCACTCCGAACAAATCTACAACGAAGTGAGCGACGAGTGAGCGCCGCGGGTGGGAGAAGGCGCTCGCCCCCCCTCCGCGTCCTGGTCCAAGTACTCGAAGACCAGCGTGAGCTTCCGCTCCGTGTGAATCACGTCGCATAGCCTGCTGCGCGCCCCCCCCACCTGCCTCAGCTCGTGGAGGAGGAGGAGGAGGACCGAGCTATCTCGTCACGCGCTTGACCCCCTCTGGCCCTCAGGACACCTGGAGACCGCGGCAGGAGCCGGAGAGAGGAGGCCGCCCAGACGGGGCTGGAGCAGACGGGATCGCAGGATCGTGTGGGATCGTGCCTCGTCGCGGATGCATTGGCGATGCATCGGCCACGCTGGCATGACATCATAAATCCCGCTCCACATCGCGCCGCATCGGCTCAGCCGATGCGTCGCCGATGCACCGTCGATGCCACGGCGCGATCCTCCGACCCAATTGGAGCTTTCACGAGTGAAGATGCCTATGCTGGAAAGCAAATATATCGAGTACATGAACAACAGATTTCCGTCTCCCTCCCCCCATCCCCCTCACCCCCCCCGCCTTCTTCCCTCCTCCCCTCTCCTCTCCGCCCCTCGAACACGCCTGTCAATACTGCATCCAACATTTTCCCTTCGCCGCCAGCGTTGCTCATCATGGCAGGCCTGTTTTTTTCACAGCCACCGTGCACACGAAGGGGGCTTGACGCTTTCGGGCGTCCGATCGGGCCTTCGAATCTACGGAGTGGAGGCCGCCCGGGTGGGGCCAAAGCAGATGGTGTCGGAAGGTCGTGATGCATCGCTGAGACGCATCGGCTGAGCCGATTCTGTGGAAAGCACCTTTTCCTGCTCCTCCTCCTCCTCCTCCTCCTCCTCCTCCTGCTCCTCCTCCTCCTCCCCCTCCTCATCCCCCTCCTCCTCCTCCTCCTCCTCCTCCTACTCCTCCTCCTCCTCCGCCTCCTCCTCCTCCACCTCCTCCTCCTCCTGCTGCCCCTCCTGCTCCTCCTCCTCCTCCTTCCCCCTCTTCCTCCCAGCAGTGCTTCCACACGGGTTACCACAACGGATGGGGGAACACGTTGTCCAATAGCTTGGCAAGACGTCGGGTCAACGTGTCGACGCAGAGGCGTGTCCAAAATGCAAGGGGCGCGGTGGTTCGCCGTAGGCGCCTTCGGTCCAAATGCTACGGCCGTCACCGTCAGAATCATCAGCATTAGCAGCAGAAGCAGCACAACAGCAGCTGAAGCAGCAGCAGCAGCACATCCTCATTATCATCAGAATAATCATCAAGATCATCCGCATCATCAGCATCATCCTCATCAGCAGCATCATCATCACCATCAGCATCATCATCATCAGCACCATCATCACCATCATCATCATCATCATCATCGTCATCATCAGCATCACAATCATCATCGTAATCAGCATCATCAGCATCGTCGGCATCATCCTCATCATCAGCATCAACATCATAAGCAGCCGCAGCAGCAGCATCATCATCATCCGAAGCAGCAGAAGCACCATCCCCATTATGAACATCAACATCATCATCAGCAGCAGCAGCATCGACATCAGCATCATCAGCAGCAGCATCATCAGTATCATCATCATCATCATCATCAGCAGCAGCAGCAGCAGCAGCATCATCAGCATCATCAGCATCATCAGCATCATCATAAGCATCATCAGAGTATCATCCTAATCATCAGCAGCATCAGCATCATCATCATCATCATCAGCGTCAACGTCGTCGTCATCAGCATTATCAGCATCATCAGCAGCAGCATCGTCCTCATCATCATCATCAACATGAGCAGCATCATCAGCGTCAGCATCATCAACGTCATCAGCAGATCATCATCAGCAGCAGCATCACCAGCATCATCATCAGCAGCATCAGCATCACCGTCATTAGCAGCAGCAGCATCATCAGCATTATCAGCATCAGCATGAGCATTATCATCAGCAGCAGCAGCATCAGCATCATCAGCATCAGCAGCATCACAATCAGCGTCGTCATCATCATCAGCAGCATCATCAACACCACCATCAGCATCACCATCATCAGCAGCATCAGCAGACGTTTCACCAACAACAGCGTCGTCGTCGTCAGCAGCAGCCTGGTCACCAGTATCATCATCACCATCATCATCAGCAGCAGCATCGTCGCCGTCGTCATCGGCATCAGCATTAGCATCAGCATCAGCATCATCATCATCATCATCATCATCATCAGCATCATCGGCATCAGCATCATCAGCATCATCATCGGCATCGTCGGCATCATCAGCGCAATCATAATCAACATCGGCATCGTCATCGGCAGCGTCGGCATTATCAGCGTACTCACACTCAACATCATCGTCATCAGCAGCATCAGCCTCAGCCTCAGCCCCAGTCTCAGCCGCATCAGCAGCCTCATCATCAGCACCATCGTCAGCATCATCATCATCAGCACAATCGTCAGCAGCAGCATCATATCCGCCTCCACATCCGCATCAGCATCAGCATCATAATTACCCGCATTAACATAATCATCAGCATCATCGTCACCATCATCATCAGCATCGACATCATCAGCATCAACATCATCAGCATCATCATCAGCAGCAGCGTCATCATCATCAGCAGCAGCATCAGCATCATCAGCAGCATCATCATCGTCACAATCAGCATCTACGTCAGCAGCCTCGTCAGCAGCATCAGCAGCATCATCATCAGCACCATCGTCATCAGCAGCAGTACCCTCATCATCAGCACCACCATACGAATCGCCAGCAGCATCACCACCACCAGCATCAGCACCACCACCACCAGCAGCAGCATCCGTATCATCATAGTCATCAGCATCATCAGCAGCATCATCAGCAACATGATCATAGTCATCATCTTAGTTTCCGTCGCCGTCGTCATTGACATCGTGGTCAGAATCGTCATCGTCATCACTACCATCATCAGAATTATCAGCATCATCATCAGCATCAGCAGCAGCAGCAGCAGTAGCAGCAGCATCAGCAGCAGCAGCAACATCTCCCCATCATCATCGACATCAGCATCATTACCGTCAGTACCACCACCCGTCAGTACTACCACCACCAGTACCATCATCCATCATCATCAACATCATCATCATGAGCAGCAACAGCAGCAGCAGCAGCAGTATGCAGCCACATAATCCATTAGCATCGTTTGCATCATCGTCATCCACCTCTTCCTCATCCTACTCCTCATCCCACCTGTGGCCCTCTTCAGTTGTGTCCTCCCTCTGCTCCCCCTCGTCAGTATCATCCCGTGTGTATTGTCCCTTGACTCCCTCTAGCGTTCTGGTCATATGCATCCGCGCATACACCAACACATCCACTTACACCGCACAACGCCACCCGCCCCCCCCCACCCCCACCCATCCTCGTTGCCACCTGCTCCTCCCCCGCCCCACCCCTCCTCGTTGCCACCTCCTCCTCCCCCTCCTCCTCCTCATCATCCTCCTCCTTCTCCTCCTCCTCATCCTCCTCCTCCTCCTCCTCCTCCTCCGAATCATCATCAGCATCGTCTCCAACACCACTATCAGCCTCGTCCTCCTCATCGTCCCATCGTCGGCCGCTCCCTCCTCTGCGCCACTGATGTTGACTACAGCCTGCTGCAATCGAAAAGGGGCCACGGTCATAACATATATCCGCCACCAGGCCGCGAGGCACCAAGTGGCGTGTCCTCGAGCCCCTTAGAGCCCTCTGGACTGAGTATTGGCATGCTGCCGAAGGGGACCGCACCCCCGAGTTCCAGGCGCTCGGGCGCTCATGGAGCTTGGCGCGCATTGCCGCGTGACTTCTCAAGAGGCAAGAAGGCCCCAAAACGGGCCACGAGGGAGCCAGGAGGCCCCTGAGACGGTCTGAGAGGACCCTGGGTCGCCCAGAGAATCGCTCAAAGACGCCCAAGATGGTCTCCAGATGGCCCAGATGCTTCCAAGACGCCCCTAAAGGGCTCCAAAAGGCCTCCGAAGAGAGTCCCGAGAGGCCAAAATCACCGATTTGCCATGGGTATTTGACGAATTTGAGCGTTCTCGCCATTTCGGATGCCCGACTCTCCAGGAGGCCGAAAAGGTCCTCAAGATCGCCCCAAG